CCCCCCCCCACCCCCCCGCCCCCCCCCCCCGCCCCCCCGCCCCCGCCCCCACCGTCCCTGAGCCCCCACCCTAACATGCCCTAAAGCCCCTAAACCCTCAACCCTAAACCCTGAACGTACGTTCAGGAACACGGAACCCTAAACCCTAAACCCTAAACCCCATAGACCCGAGACCCTAAACCCTGAACTCAGAACCCTACCCAAAGGCCCTAAGCCCCCAAACCCTAAACCCTAAACCCTAAACCCTAAACCCTAAACCCTAAACCCTAAACCCCTGAACCGGCCGTTTCAAGTCCGGCAGCCGGGATCTGAGTCAGCTCGTGGGCCAGCTTGGCCTTGTTGAGGGAGTTGGGGGCGCTTTCTAGGTTTAGGGTTTAGGGTAACGGTTTAGGCCACCCGCCTAAACCCTAAACCCCAAATCCTAAACCCTAAACCTGGGGTTTAGGGCTGAAATGTCCAGGGTTCGCTATACATTGCTAAAACCTGAGGTGTCCAACCTAGATAATCATGAGACTAGACCCAGGGTGACCCAGGAGTAGCCTAGGAACAAACCCTGAACCCGAAACCCTTTTTGGTCTTAAGGGGAGTATAAGGGAACCCCAACCTCAAAAAAAGGGAATAAGGGACTGCTCCGGATCCTAGGAGACCACCCAAGAGGATGCAAATCGCCGCGGCCGTCCGGTTGCGCACAAACCGTTGAGGGTTTAGGGTTTAGGGTCTAGGGTGTAGGGGTTTCAAAACCAAGACCCTAACACACACCCTGAACCAAGATCTGAACACTGAGACCCAAACACCCCAACCCCTAAACCCTAAACCCTAAACCCTAAACGGCTGTATTGCCTGACGGCTTGAAGTATATGTGTGTATGTATATACACATATATTATGTATGTGCATGGGCATGTAGAAAAACACCGACATTGGGGTCGACCTCATGCCCCGAAACCCTAAACCCTAAACACCCCAAGACTCAAACCCGAAACCCGAAATCCTAATCCCCAAGCCCTAAGCCCTAAGCCCTAAACCCTAAACCCTAAACCCCAAGCCCTAAACCCTAAACCCTAAACCCCAAGCCCTAAACCCGAAACCCTGAAACCTTCTCTCTTTTTCGAACTTCCGCCATGCCCGCGCTCCACGGCATCCCGGAACCTGGTAGCTGGGAGCGGAGGGTTTAGGGCTTAGTAGGGTTTAGGGTTTGGGATTTAGGGTTTAGGGTTTAGGGCTCAGAATCTCAAGTCCAAGCATTCGCCAGTCAAGCAGCTTGTCGAGCGTTGGTGGAAAACACCCGTCGGCCCAAAAAAACCCAAATGATTAAGAAATTCGAAGAGTTTTTGCGTTTCTTTACGCGCGAGGAGGCAGGTAACAACATCACCTTACCCTAGAACCCTAAACCCTACACCCTAAAACTCATGCCCTGTATCCAAAACCTTACCTTGAACCCGAAACCCTCGACCCTAAACCTAAACCCCAAATCCTAAACCCTAAACCCAAAACCCTAGCCCTAAACCCTAAACCCTGCACCATAGAGCCTAGGCCAAGGCCCGGAACCCTAAACCCTCGGCCCTGAGCCCTGAGCCCTAAACCCCCGCACCTGTGCCGATGGCTCGGCATTGCATTAGGGTTTATGGTTTAGGGTTTAGGGTTGGTGCTGAGTGGTCGGACTTGCATTCGGGTTGGTGCAGATTTGTGCCCGCTTGTGCGGAATTGCAACAAATACATCAAGGATATAAATACATATGTCTTTTGGTTGCTGTAAGAGAAGGCACAGGGTACGATCTAGGTTGAGGGCTTTGGCTTAAAGTGCATGCCTCTTTCAACCCTGAATCCTAGCCTACTACTTGCTTAAGAACACTCCAAAACAGAACATGATAATCCCAATATTGCCCCAGGAAGAATGTTTGTCTTTAGTTTTGTGGAGGGTTCTTGAGAAAATAGTAGTGGCCCTAGATGACCATGAGCCAGGCCACCGGAAGAAAAGCAGCCATGTGCCGCGGTCTGACGGACACACCTGGGCTTTCAAGAACAGATCGTTTAGGGTTTAGGGTTTAGGGTTTCTGGTTGAGGCTTCAGGGTTTGGAGAACAGTCCAAATTCCAAAGCTTCAACCCTAGACCCAACTAGGCCACTAAATCCCAACCAGCATGGTGTTCTTTGAAGCTCTTTGACTTAGTGTTTCTTGACGTAAAAAACCCCTAAATGTTCTTGGAAGCTCTGTTGACTTAGTGTTTTTTTAACGTAAAGAACCCCTAAAAAAAATCTTGGAAGCTCTGTTGACTTAGTGTTTTTTTTTAAAGTAAAAAACCCCTAAATGTTCTTGGAAGCTCTGTTGACTTAGTGTTTCTTAACGTAAAAACCCCCAAATGTTCTTGGAAGCTCTGTTGACTTAGTGTTTCTGAACGTAAAAAACCCCTAAATGTTCTTGGAAGCTCTCGTTTAGGGTTTAGGGTTTAGGGTTTAGGGTTTAGGGTTTAGGGTTTAGGGTTTAGGGTTGTACGTCGACTTAGTCTCCCCTAGAAACGTTGGTGAGGGGATGTGCGTATACCTCCCGGCATCTCGACTCCCCGAGCTGCTTAAAGGCTCCTATGTAGTGTCTTTAAGTACGAGAACCCTAAACCCTAAACCCTAAACCCTAAACCCTAAACCCTAAACCCTAAACCCTAAACCCTAAACCCTAAACCCTAAACCCTAAACCCTAAACTAACCCCAAAAGGAAGATACCGTAGAGCCTTCAGCCAGAGCCGGACTCCGACCGGGTTGGTGCTAAACTAGAGTTTTTTAGTGCTCAGGATTGAAGGTTTGTTCCTAACAGCACATCAGTCTCTCAAGAAAAGGGCTCCCCCTATCTGCGCATACCGAGAAAAACAGAAACATCCGGACATGACTGTCTGAAGCTATGCTGTTGGGACGTCGAATGGGCTCATCACTCAGTTGGGTACAAGGATCTCCATCCTACAAAAGTAACCCTAAACCCTAAACCCTAAACCAGGAGGCCCCAACATGCTGAAAACTGGGGCCGAGCCGGGTGCAGGGCCAAGGCACAAAGGCCCATCCGAACCCTAAACCCTATGACCCTAGAACCTAAACCCTACCCAAAACCCAAACCCTAAGCCCTAAACCCCTAAAGCCGATTACGCACTTTAGGTTTTAAGGCTTCAGACGTAGTCTGCGTTCAGGGGATTCGGTCCCAAAGACAGCCGCTTGCCGTCAGAAGTGATGCACCATGGAGTAGTGGACTTGGGCCTGAAAGTACTCTTTTTTCAGCCTCGGGAAGGGGGCAGGGGCAGGGTCCCAGAAGTCCAGACTCCAGATTTGCAGAGAGAAACTGGAGTACCCGGCCCCGGATTCCAGACTCCCGATTTCCAGAATGAATCTGGAGAATCTGGAGTCCGTATTCTGGAGTCTGGAGTCCCGGTACTCCAGATTCTCTCTGGAAATCTGGAGTCTGGAGTCCGGGGCCCGTGTTCTCCGTATGCACTCTGGAAATCCGGAATCTCATGGATACAATAATACTGTTCAATGGAAATAAAGGTATACACACATGCATGTGTGCTGTATATCTCCTTTTCTATACAACAACATCAACATGCAAGAGAATACATTTGGTCAAGCCCCCTGGCTAAAACCCTAAACCATACAAATCATGAACTTCGAAAATCCAAACCCTAAGCGTCTGAAACCCCGACGGTTTTTTCGTTTGAGGCTTAGAATTTAGTAGGTCGTTTGTAGGGTTTAGTGTTTAATGTATAGGCTTAAGTGTTTAGGGTGTAGTGTTTATGTGTTTAGGGTTTAGTGTGTAGAGTTTTGTGTTTAAGTGTTTAGGGTTTAGTGTTAAGTGTTTGGGGTTTTGTGCTAAGGGCTTAGGGTTAAGTTTTTGGGTTTCGTCTTTAGGGTTTGGTGCTTAGTGTTTAGGGTTTAGTTTTAAGGGTTTCTGGTTTGGTTTTTAGGGCTTAGGGTTTCGGGCTAAGGGACTTGGATAATATCTATAAAAACCTCTGGTTTATGTTGCTTTCTGGGCTGACACATTGATGTTTAAAAAAGAACCTAATAGGGTTTGTGTTTAGGGTTCAGGGTTTGGTTTCTAGTGTTTAGGGTTTAGTGTTTAGGTTTTGTTTTTGAAGGTTTAGAACACTGAAACCCCGACGGTGTTTTTGGGTTGGGGTTTACGGTTCAGTGTTTAGGGTTGAGGGTTCAGCTTTAATTGTTTCGCGTTTGTTGTTTCCCGTTTATGCTTTAGGGTCTAGTGCTTTGGGGTTTAGTGCTTAGGTTTCAGGGTTTAGTGTTTCGTGATTAGGGTTAAGGTTTTTAGGGTTTAGTGTTAAGTTTAGGGTTTAGGGCTTAGTTTATCGGCTTAGGATTTAGGGTCAAGCGCCTTGGCTAAAACCCTAAACCTTACAAATCTTAAACTCAAAAATCCAAACCCTAAGCATCTGAAACCCCGACAAGTTTTTGGTTCGAGGTTTAGAATTTAGTAGGGCTTGAGGTTCCGGATTTGTTGTTTAGGCTTTCGGGTTTAGTGTTAATTCATGGATTAGGGTTTAGTGTTTAGGGTTTCGTGCGCAGGGTTTAGTGCTTAATGTTTAGGCTTAAGTGTTTAGGGTGTAGTGCTTATGTGTTTAGGGTTTAGTGTTTAGGGTTTTGTGTTTAGGGTTTTAGGGTTTAGTGTTAACTGTTCGGGGTTTTGTGCTAAGGGCTTAGGGTTACGTTTTTAGGGTTAGTGTTTAGAGTTTGGTGCTTAGTGTTTAGGGTTTAGTGCTAAGGGTTTCGGGTTTGGTTTTTAGGGCTTAGGGTTTCGGGCTAAGGGGCTTGGATAAGATCCATCAAACACCTCTGGTTTGCGTTGCTTTCTGGGCTGACTATTGGTGTTTTCACAAAAAAAACAACGTAATTCGGCACCCAGGAAATCGCATTCACAAAAATGTGTCTCATGGTTTTCTTTCAAACGTTAAGGTTTTTGAGAAAAAGTAGATCATTTACGTTGAAACAATTTCTAAGATTCTAAAAATCATACATCTCTTGCAAAACAACAGATGGTGGCGATCCAGTTTTGGTCCAGTTTCGGCCCAGTTTCGATCCAGTTTTGGTCCATTTTCACGAAACTGGACCTGCCGTCAAGTCTTCGATAGAAGTTTCAGTGGCCAGATGATTCGCTTTACACGTCACCTGTCATTTCGCCCGTCAGCGTTTGAGGAAAACACAGCCGCAAGACACACGTTTAAGAAGCAAAATACACATTCAAAAATACAGCTTTTATTGGAGATAATATAGCATAGCCTTCTGCATTATTGTATCGTTGTTACTGCATTCTCCAAAAAAATAAATTCATACAAAGATGAAGACAGCAAAACCATATGTGTGGATCATGCGCGGCGGGGGGGGGGGACCACATATATGTATGGATATACAAAGATACGAGTAGGACATTAGATAAACATAAAACTCATGCACATATATTACAAAACATTTGTGTATCCATTCATAATGTTGGGAGCATTTTTTTCGGCATATCGAAGCTACACGCCAAGCGCAGAGCAGAACCCTAGGTTTAGGCTTTGGGACACAGGGCCCCGAAAACGCCCCTAAAAGCCCGCGCGATACCCTAAACCCGAAACCCTAAACCCTAAACCCTAAACCCTAAACCCTAAACCCGAAACCCTAAACCCTAAACCCTAAATCCAAAACAACCGCAGCCTAGGTGCCCCAAGAGATGCCAAGGCATCTGGCGCACCATCCAGGCCTAGGGCTAGGGTTTCAGTTCTTAGTAGGAAACTTAGGGTTTAGGGTTTTAGGGTTTAGGGTTTAGGGTTTAGGGTTTAGGGTTTAGGATGTCGATGCCATATGGGCAGCTCTCAAAATTAGGTTCTTCTTCTTGTCTCCCCATGTAGTACAGCACTGTACAAAAAGGACCCCCGAAGGGAACCTAACTTTAGAGAACTACCCATGTAACCCCTCCCCACCTTCCTCCCCCCCCTCCTTATTCTTGTTCAAGGGAGTGTTTAGGGAAATGACCTCATTCCCGAATCCCCACAAAGAAAGAGTGAACGCTCATGTTATGTCTAGTGGTAAGGGCTTCAGGAGGTCCAAGGCCTGGGGTTTGCAGGGTCTAGGGCACCTCCCCATTCGGCGCTGAAGCTGGCCCCAGGTAGGGATTGTAGGATGCGGTATCAAGGTTCAACCCTAAACCCTAAACCCTAAGCCCTAAACCCTAAACCCTAAGCTCTAAACCCTAAACCCTAAACTCTAAACCCTGAACCCTATTTGGCTTGGAATCAGGACCATGAGCTGAAGACTCTAAGCCCCTGAAGCGCTAGGGCCGGGGGTTTCAGAAGTACTGAGATTGCCCAAAGGCTCCAATGTAGAACCCTAAACCCTAAACCCTAAACCCTAAACCCTAAACCCTGAACCCTAAACCCTAAACCCTACCCAAAACCCTAAACCCTTTTTGGGGTAGTTACAGGGGATTCCAGTATACTACCCCAAAAAGGTACTACATAGGAGGCTCTGGGTAGGCTTTAGGGTTCACAGTGAAAGACGTTCAGGTTGGGATGTTCCCCTTAATCTAAGAGTCCTTAATAAGGATTATAGTACCCCCTGTTATACCCTAAACCCTAAACCCTAAACCCTAAACCCTAAAAGTTAGTAGAAGGGGCAAACCATCCCGAAGTTCTGGGCTTGTGCCTCAGAATTGAAGAGCTTAGGTTGTAGGGTTCCTAGCTATCAAGAGTTGAGGATATATAGGGCTCAGCGAAAAACGAGTTTGGGTTGCGGTGTGGGGTGGAATTGCATATTGAACTCTGAACCCTAAACCCAAAACCCTAAACCCAACAATTTTCCAAGCGCCCCTAGTGGCGGCGCAAGGCAACGAGAACAGCGCGCCCAGCCTTCGTCGCTTGGGCTTTTCTTCTTGGGGGATCCAAAAAAAGCCCGGAGTAGGTACTGTAGAAAGCCATTCGGCCAAGCCTGAACCCCAACCCCTAAACCCTAAACCCGTCTATATATGTATATATACATACATATGTATGTATATATATATATATAGTTTTTATTATTTAGTTTTATATATATATATATATTAATTTTTTTGTATAATTACATATATGCATATGTACAGAAAAAGCCTGCACATGTACATATACATGTACGATAAAAGGTAAAAGCTTTCGACCCTCAAAAGACGCGACAGGAGCCCGTGGCTTCCGGGGTCTCAGAAAGGTTACCGCGCAAGGACCAACAAGGTACCACCACGAAAACCTGAGGGTTTAGGGTTTAGGGTTTAGGGTTTAGGGTTTAGGGTCTAGGGTCTAGGGTTTAGGGATTAGGGTTTAGGGGTTTAGGGTTTAGGGTTTGGAGTTTGGGGTTTGGAGCTTGGAAACAGCAGCCGGGGTCCTGGTCAGTCAAGCACTCCCGATACCTACAACCCAAAACCCCCCAACTTGGGCCCCAAGCTCCAGTTTTCTGAACCCAAGGGCTTGAACCCTGTAATTAAACGCCACCTCCGCCCTCTA